CATTTTCCAACTCTGAATTAATGTTGCTTTCCTTCCATTTTTCCAACTCGTCAAAAACAAGGCCTTGTTTGAGTTTTGTAGTACCTCTTTCTACCTTACTCTTGCCATACTCAAAATTGAAAAAGCTTACAACAGTTTAACAGTTTTAAGTGTTAAATTCAAGTTGCAAAAATCCCGCAATTTAATCATTGTTTATGAGCCCAAAGTTAATAACAATGTGACACCCATGATAACATAGCAATTGCTAATGAAAAACAATGGCGAACAAGAGAGCAAACTTTTACTACGAATTTTGATGTTTTTGTGTGAAGTGCAATATATTTCTGGCGAAATTGGTGAATTTCATCATGTTGGGTAACACAGTATATGTTTTTAAGCTTCTTAAACGTGATAGAAATAAAGATAGAGTCTGTACGGACTTATATGCACATCTGCTGATGCCTGCCAACAACGAGCAGAAATTGATTTTGCCGTATTAGGTACTTTACTGTCACACATTCTCATACAGAGACTAAGGTAATAATATTGTTTCTCGGGAACATATTTTGGCAGCTCGAGTTGTAATAAAATTAGTGTTTTGGACATGCACATCTAGTATTTGTCTATTGTAGGTTATCTAAAATGCAAATTTTAATTGGATTTCTACTAAAGACTAAAATGCACATGCCTGGCAGCCGTGTTGTGGCATTCGCTTCGGTTTAGAGCATTTGCTTCTCATGTTGTGTAAAGGATCTTTATCCCGGAACACCCGATTTTTTATTAGTAGCGCAAATGCGCATGCGCTATCAAGCCGTAGATCACGATGGCGTGACAATATGCTAGGAAGGAGTGACAGTGTTGTTTTCGGATGTATAAACATTTCAGACGTGAATATTGCAAAAATATAAAATCTATGCAATATATAAATTGATCTTATGCATTACGGCCGTTCAATTAAGTGTCAATAATATTTAGACGGTATATTCATTATACAGAGCTAGGAAGGAGCTAGACCGCCTAGACAGTGCAGTCAACACTCAAGTGTATAAACATTGAGTCGAAAATCTTTGAGATTCTAGGCATTCAGTTGAGTGCTGATATTATTTTCACGGTATACTCATTATACGGAGGTACAGTACGTATGAAGAAGTGAGACAGTGCTGTTTTCAAGTATATAAACATTTCAGACATGAATATTGAGAAAATCTTTGAGATTCTACACAATAATATAATATATAAATTGATGTTATGATTACCGGCATTCAATTAAGTGCCCATAGATATTATTTAGACTGTGTATCCATTATACATTGTCATTGACAGTATAAGGTGCTACATCACAGAACTCAGTACAAAGAGCGAAAAATTGCATCAGATCTGCATCAGATCAATAAATCGTAAACAACTATTAAACAGAAGTGGGTGTTTGTACAGGCGTTTACGAAGAAAATATTGCGAGACAAAAGAAATCAGTTGAGTCAGAGCTCCTTATTTAAATAAGAAAGACGAGGAGATAGCCAATGTGTTCTCGCCAACAAGATTTATGCAAAAGAAGAAAAAAGCAAGGAGGTACATGTAGCCAACATCTACTGTCACAGACCTTGTTTACTGTCTAGCACAACGCCATTGTCAACGGTGCAAACTTGTGTTCAGTGCAATGATAACTCTACCAGATCTTATGAGAATCAATCTGTAGTATTCTGTACACAGAACTGTATCAAAGCTTGTTAAAACTGCTTTAAACACTGCAGCTATAACTGTGAAACTATTGAAATCTAAAGTGACATTATTCAAACACATGTGAAAAGCTGAAAATAGACACAAAGGTCAATGAGACTTGTTATTGTCTATTGTGAAACATGTCACAATTAGGTTAAAATGCGGAAGAGGATGGAGCGGATCCACGGAACGGATATGTGGATAAAATACGGAACGGATGAAGATAAAATGCTTCCTTTCAATGATATAACAACGTAGTGCTTTTTATCATATACAGCTATTTCAATTATAGTTTTAGATAGTTTAGCATAGCAGTAGCCTTGTGGGGATGCTTTTAGCGACAGCTGCAAATGCAAATGAAAAATTTAGAATATGCAAAATTTGGTTGTTGGTGAATAAATAGATAAATTGTGTCAGTTTCACAAGGCACGTTTCTGATGTGTTAGGCTTGTTTCAAATGTCACACTACTCGTGCGCCTAGCGCATTAAAGTGCATATGACATGAAATTTATTATTTTCTTAATGAAAGAACTCTTTAAGCTGTAGTGTAACTTATATTTCAATTTCTTTGGTTTGTTCGCAAGATATTTCAATTTGTTTGATATGTACATGAGTGTGAATATGTCCGTTAATTTATGACGTCACATTGGTTGCAAGCTCAACTTACACTGGCTATAAATCTATTAACTCTAAAAACATCAGTATCTGAAAATATCAGTTCACGTTTTTCTCCAGTGTTTCATCACATTTACCAGTGAGGGAAGTTTGAAGTTATCATCTCGGATGATATTCAACCATTTTGAGGAGCTTGCAACCAATGTGACGTCATAAATTAGCAGACATATTCACACTCATTTACACGTCAAACAAATTTAAATATCTCGGGAACAAACCATAAAAACAAGAAACTGAAATATAATTTACACTACAGCTTAAAGAGTTCTTTCATTTAAGAAAATAATAAATTTCATGTCATATGCACTTTAAAAGCAATAGATAATGAGATGAAATGCCTTTGGTAATTGTTTATTTCGTAGTGTAAGCCATCAGCTTTTCTAGGTTGTCAGCGAACCTATATAGTTCTTGCAGTGTCTTTTTCAATTTGAAACTTCACACTATCCTTGGATTCCTAGTTCTCTTCACGTTCAATATCTTTCATCCTCGCGTCTAACTCCTCCCAATCTTTTCCTATAAAAACTTCAAAGCCTCTGACCCATTGCTGCTTCTCTTTTCTTTTTTCTTGTTTCCATCTCAGCTACATTAATACCTGGCTCCCTGTTTGTGTATTTAGGGAAAATAGACAAAAAATAATAAAAAATGCCTTGATTATTATCATTCAAGTTTTATAAGTTTTGTCAAAGTAGTTTCTAAAATTTTACCTACTTTTTGTTGCCATGGTAACGGTATATATTTTGAGAAACAACAGAGAATATGCTATGTTTTATTCAGAGGCTCTGCAGCAGTGTAATTTGTGATTGATTCATATATGATATCAATGTTTATTGAATGAATCGGGAATGTTGACATCCAATGTCCAAATTTTATGTGAAAACCTAAAAGTTATCAACTTCTTATTAACCGAATGCAAAGTATGTACAGAGGAATATCGGACAAGGTCTTTTTTTTGTACAGACTGAGCCTAATAAAAAGTTTATTATATGGCATTAAAAGTCATTTACACTTGAAATAAGCAAGAAGTGCATGATTTGAAATGCATTTAGTCTGGTGATCAAGGCGGAATTATCTTTACTCAATACCGAGTTCTTGGAGTGCACCCAAAGCCATGGCTGAAGTTTGATGGACAATTGTCCATGACAAATATTTTTTGCAATAAGTTTTTCCAACCCTCTGAAAGAATTGTTAGAAATTTCCACTTAATGAGATTGCCAAAATAATGTCCTGACATCTTTTCATATACTTCTGCCAAAATAACTCCCTTTCTTGGCACTATTGCAACCATCACATGAACCCTTTTCCCACCAGCTAAGTCTTTCGAACCCTTGTCAACGAAAGGTCTTTGCTACATCTCTGCCAGACTCTGGATCTTGGGCTACCACCTCATTTAAAGGATTACCCTTGTGTATAAATGACACAACATCAAGATAAATTGCCACGTTGTTCGTCCAATAAGTTTTACTTCTATGCCGCTCTTGCATATTTGCACCTTTTCTGAAAATCTTTTTCTGAAAATCCTTTGCACATCAACATCCTTTTTTGCATGTTTGGCAAAACTTATAGCCCAATTTGTTCACATAAGAAACAAAAAGTTTGGTATTTTGCTATAGTGCGGTCAATACCACTGTTTTGAACAACATCCATGGTAGTAGAGTTCAGGTTAGTTAAAACGAAGCTGTGACACAAAACGACAAAATTTCATTTCATTGCGAACAGACAGTATATGTGATGTCCACATATTTCACCTTCTTTTTTTTGTTTTAAAATCTCTTTCAAAACCTTTAAGCACTTGACTTTGAGATTTTAACCTTGCCAGCAATTTGCCAACGCAACCGCTTTCTCGCTGTGTAAAAACAAAGTTAGAGCTCTTTCTTGCCACAAACTTGTTCACTGAACACCATTTTGTTCAATTGCTAGTCCTGACTAGTAAGTCATTTGTGACGTCATATAATGCACGGTTGACCTCTGGCCTTCTGGGAAACTTAATTCTTATTGGTTGCCCTTATAACGATTTATGTATAAGAAAATTGTAGGTAAAACCAGGCAACTTTGCAGAAAATGCTGGGACACTTGTGCCGAAATGTGACAAAAATCCCCCATTCCCCTTTTACAATGTTGGTTTTATCACAAATAAACCTGATCAAATGGCAAAATAACTGAAGTGTGAAACAACATTGAAATGGGGGATGGAGGACATCACAGCATGAGTTTTTCAGCACCCATTCACTTGTGTAGTAGATATTTTAAGATACTTTAGAAATTGATTGTTTTCATAGAAATTGATTGTTTTCATTTCTGACCAAATTGTCGGGTTGGCTTCGCCACTGGGACAATGGTCACATGATCGGGCATAAAGTTAAAATGCCAACAGAGAGGTGGAGGGGGTTGTGACATATCATATGGAGAGATTACTTGATGAAACTACCTGAAAATGTAAATTCCATCATAGTTACTGGAACCCAAAAATCAAGATTTTACTGTATCATTTAACATTATTTGAGATTTATCAGTTCCCTTGATTAGAGCCTGTCCACACCCAAAACACTTCTTTACTTGTGGTGGCCAAAAATGTAGAAGATACAAAATGTACGAGCCAAAGAATGGGTCAGGGTAACCTGGATGCATAGGATGTTGTTCATGTTGATGTTGCTGGTGTTGCCATTGTTGTTGTTATCGCTGTTGTTGTTGTCACTGTTGTTGCTGTTGTTTCTGTTGCTGTTGTTTCTGTTGTTCTTGCTGTTGTTGTTGCTGCTGTTGTTGCTGTCACTGTTGTTGCTGTTCTCGCTGCTGCTGTTGTTGGTGGTGGTGTTGCAGTTGTTGTTGGTGTTGCTGCTGTTGTTTTAGTTTGTCAACAACTATGTGGGTACGTTTGTTCCTTTGTCCACCTTTCCACCGAGATGTGGAGGGCTTTATAACACCTTTGACCCACACCTTGGTTGGAATCAAAAGTGACCATTGTTGTTAAGTTCATGGGCTTGTGGCGACGTAATAACCAATCCAAGTACTCAGCAAGTTTTTCTCCAACCGCAACAGCATGCTTGCACAGATTGGATGAAGCCCATCCTGTGCAGTTCTCGCATGTAATTTTTCCACTTTTCTCTGCATAGACGTAATGAGGTCGTTTGAAGAGGAACTCTCCACCATGAAAGTCATTGCATTATTCCCAGGAGTTGGAAAAATGGCTTTTTCTTTGCACAAAACTTCTCCAGCCATTCTAAATATATGTTTTACCATTTCAGGAGGCAGAAAACTCAAATTTGCATCTTCTGGTCTGACGGACAAAGAACAATTTTTTTAGTTTCATCCTGAATTTTCCTGTTTGGTTTGAACATGTCATAAAATCTTTTTTCGTATGCATTGCGTTGTGTGGTTGACACTTTTCCGATGTTAGTTGGAAATTGAGGTACTCTGAATCTAAGTTGTTTACGGCCACTATTTTAATAATGCTCCTCATCCATCTTCCCTTTGGCATTTAATTAGCTACACCATCTTCAAAGTAAAGTTGGGCATTTCACTTTCTTTGAAGTTGCACTGCCTGTTTGATGATGGTGTTCGCTGACTCAGAGATGTTTCTGTAAAATGGAATTTCTCCAAACCAGCATTCATTCGTATGTATATTTGGGTAACATATTGTCAACTATTATACTGGCCTAATTAAAAGCAAAAAATTTGAAAACTGCTGTCACTATTGTCATTACATGGATCCAAAAATTGTACAATGTTAGAACTGCTCAGTTCCCCATGTTTTATTAATATTACCTTGTCAGTTATGTATGTAAACAAGGCAGGCTCTTGGCTCAGGCTTCTCGTGTTCATTCCAAACATTCTCCAATGATGGGAGTTTGTTGTAAAAATCCTCTTCACTATCAGAATCGACCAATCCTGGTAACATGAGTAAATATGTTAGTTATTTCTAGAACTCGTACAAACACTGTCCTTCCACATACCAATGTAAGTTATCAGTGTGTCTAACTACCCCCATTTTATTTGCCTTATTGACCTGACTCTTTACAGGTAGCAAAGATACTTTGAAAATTTTTAATTATCTATAAAATTGTACAGCAGCAATCCCAACCTCCGTCGCAGGGACTTTCCACCTGCTGGGAAAGACCCTGCTATCGGCTGATCATGTGTCTCCCAGAATTTGGGAGATAACAAAAAATTTCAGTTAGGGTAGGGTGGCTGAGTAGTATTGTTAACCCATTAAGTGCCAGCGCTCTCCCCTTGACGAGTAAAATCATCTGGCGTTAGACAGAGTAAAATACTCTGGTGTTAGATAGAGTAAAATACTAAAGTAGGGTGCAATGCGACTCAATGGGTTAACTAGACACATGGGCAGATAGGCCAGTTAACCCATTAAGCGCCAGCGCTCTCCCCTTGACGAGTAAAATCGTCTGGCGTTAGACAAAGTAAAATACTCTGGCATTAGACAGAGTAAAATACTAAAGTAAGGTCATCAGGGTGCAATGCGACTCAATGGGTTAATATGATCAAGGAGTGAGAAATACTAAAAAATTGAGTTAGCCATCACAGTCAAAAATAAAACACGGAAACGAATACCACAAAAAGTATGACAGTCCATTGTAAATCATATCAAATTACATATCAAGCCATGTGTTCAGTCTCAAAGCTCATTTACCTGAATGACTTCCAACGAAACCCCGAAAAAAGCATATCAAACTTCAAACTGGATAGATTCATCTTCCTGTCGACCTTGCAGAGCAAGAATATATTCAAGCCTTCAAATTGAGCTTTACTCAAGATGCCGAACAAATTTGCGGGCATCCCATTGATTATGAGGCGAATTTGCCCCATCTCATATGTAGACCATGTGAGGATCAGTAACACTGAGGATTTTCAAAAGGTAACTGTGGAAACTGAGTTTACCAAAGCGAGTCAAGTCAAACCCGGTTCAAATGCTGTGTCGCCAAGATCCCGCCAAGTTACATCTGCGGCATTATGTAGTTTTATTTAGGAATGTATTTTATTTTCTGCTTAGGTTGAATTCTTGATTAACTGAGCTAATTCTTTCCCCTCCCCCCCTCGACTTTGCTCCCTGTAAGAACTTTGTTGTGATTCCATTCTTGTCAATTTTTGTCTGTTTATTTTTTGTCAATGCACTATTTGTCTGTTTATTTAGGACAACAAAAATGTATTTTATTGTGATTT